ATCTATGCCTCAATAATTTTATTCAGATAAAAAAAATGATGGTGTACTAGTAATGGGGTTTCAAGCTGGTTCGGTTCAATCGCGACTTGATAAGCTTGCTTTAGCCAGAGTGGAAATGGAAGACTGCTGCAGATAGCGAGAGAGATAACACAGGCCACCGCGCTTGGTGTTTCTGTATCGCTTGGTAAGGCTCACGTGGCTCTGATGCAGAACTGCCCATGGCATTGCACTAGTTCTCTCAGCCGCTTGGCACATATCCCGGCGTGGTGAGCCTGCTAGGGCCTGGCCATGGACGCCGCTTGTCCTCAGGCGTGACTGTGTGGACCCAGCAAGTGCCCTTGGTATCTAGCATGCCCCTCCGTGTGTACTCATTAAGGTCTTTTATTCCTGCCCCCCATGTAGGTAAGTATTATGATGCTTAGAGTTCAGAGGGTTTTAGAGGTTCCATCGTTTCACCAGCAGCCCAGGCTGCTGTGAAAATGACTTCAATTCTCTCTCTCTCTCTCTCTTAAATTATATTTTATTGACTTTTTAAAGAGAGGAAGGGAGAGAGACAGAGAGTTAGAAACATTGATGAGAGAGAGGTACATCATCAGCTGCCTCCTGCACACCCCCCACCGGGGATGTGCCCGCAACCAAGGTATATGCCCTTGACCAGAATCGAACCCGGGACCTTTCAGTCCGCAGGCCGATGCTTTATCCACTGAGCCAAACCGGTTCCGGCCTTGCTCGTGCTTTTTATCAGGTGTCTTCCAAGCAGCCTGCTGTGCGGGCATGGCGATGTATGTTCAGTGTGATACATTCGAGTGTGTTTACATCACTTAGGAAGGAAAATGTTTTTGTTTTGCTTTGTTTTGCAGATGTACAGATCAGCTCTCAAAATGTCTTCTGTATCTTCCGAGCGTCTACTAAGACAATTGCATTAGCCTCCTGCTAGTTGACTGATAGGATTAATACTTGTAAAAAAAAAAAAAAAAAGCATTCTAAAGCCACATGCCTTATGAAGTCAATGCTGGGTATGATTTTACAAGTATGTGATCTATTTTTTTTCAAGTGAAAATGTTAACTGGGAAAGTTCTTGGCACACAGTGGAACATCATGCAATCTGTTATTTGTCTTAAAGATAATAACTTGAGGGTGGCTATAGTCCTTCAGCATCTAACTCATGATTTGTTAGGGGAGTTTCTTCCACTTAGAAGTATCGCGAATGTGCTTATATTTACATAATATGTCATTCTGAAAAATTACGGTGATATAATTCCAGTAGAAAATTATTTTTTTCTATAGCTACTTCAAAGTGTAGTCAACTAAATTAACTATGATATTTTCTTTTAAACCCAACTCAAAAGATCAGGCCCCTTCCCCCCACTACAAAAAATAAAACCAAAATGACCTTTCTGATATGTCTTTGAAGTTCTAGCAGTTCACATTCTTTGTGATATATATTATTAAGAGCTCTATTCAACATAAGGAATCCGTGAGTCCTATGGGTTCTAAAGGCCTGTTTTTGGGTAGAGGAAGGAACTGAAATTTGAAAGAATGATAATTTAATTAAATCACATTTTCCCTCCGTCACTATAGATACTGGTTGAGAAGTACTTAAACTATGACCCTTACTTTACTTCACAATCACAATAAATGAGTATGATCCACTGTTTTTGTTGTTCTGAAAAATGAATTACGTTATTCAATATTAACATATTTATATCTATTCACTTTTAAGTACTTTGTCTTCTGTCCCTTGCTGTGTAAAATGCTGCTGCCTTTTCAAATTACCTTGGCATTACTATAGTTTATTAATTTTCTTTGAAGAATCTTAATGAATTGTAATATTTCATTCTCATTTCTTCATGAATCCTGCCTTTGGCTGTTTTTTATCCTTTTTTGTGTAACCTTATTAATTTTGTTTTGGTGCATCCTTGCTAGATTTTATTTATATTAAGGGAGAAATATTAAAATTTAAACGATGTGGCTTTTCAGTACTTGTCCAAGCAAAAATCACATTGCAGTATTTCTAACGGCATTATGTGCAATTACAAACAAACAAACAACAACAACAACAGAAACCACCCAAGAAGTTCTGGAGGGAAAGGCAGACAATGACTGTGCCAAATCACCACATGGTTATATGTAGGGATGGCTGATGCTCCATAAATTAGAATGGTTTGTTGTGTAAGCTAAGTTAAAAAGGTATATTTTTCTACTCAAACGCGTGTGTTTTAAATGATTACTGATTTCTCAAACTTCCCTCTTATTCTTTAGTTTTTCTTTTCTTTACTACAAGTAAAATGGCCCTCAAGTCTTCCATGGGCTGGTACAAGTTCCCAACTTCTCCCACTTCCCATAGAAAACTACACGTCTCCTAAAACTTTGACATCCACAAATAAGACACTAACATGCAAACCTTAAGAAGCAAATGAGTTAGCCAGTGTTCCAGTGTAGAGATCAGTGGTAATGCCACCAAAGGTGAAGACCACATTCCCCCACCCCCAGCCCCGCCCCCCGCCCCTCACAGGCCTGGCAGGTCCTCATTCCCTCTTGCCCTTGACTGACGACGTCAGCCCTTCATCCTATAAATACTTCTTGTTTGTTTTTTTTAAACTAAATCTTTATTGTTCATATTATTACAAATGTTCCTCATTTTTTTTCCTCCCTCCATTGCTCCCCTCCACCAAGTTCCCACCCAACCCTCTGCCCTTTCCCCACCCCTCATTTTCCTCATCCATAGGTGCACAGTTTGTGTTCAGTCTCTTCCCACACCCCCCACTCCCCTTTTCCCCAAGAATCCTCAGTTCACTCCCCTTCCATACCTCTGATTCTATTATATTCACCAGTTAATATTGTTCATCAGATGCTTCTTGTTGTTGCTGCTGTTATTCCAAGAACAAAATTCTGTAGATACTTGGTGACTAGCACTATTTATTTCTGTATAAGAAGAACAACGTACTTCTTAAGTACAGTTACACTATTTTCTTAAAATATATTCTTATTTATTTCAGAGAGAGAAAAGGAGAGGAAGAGAGAGATAGAAAGACCCATAATGAGAGAGAATTGTAGATCAGCTGCCTCCTACTGGGGACTGAGTTCAAAATCTGGGCATGTGCCCTGACCTGGCATCGAACCGTGACGTCCTGGCTCATACATTGATGCCCAGCCGCTGAGCTGCGCCAGCTGGGCCAGTTACACCACTTTTGACATTATTCAATAGAGTCAATATTGACTCTTATAAATGACTTCTTATACTCTTAACTGGTACATTATCTTGACTTAGTGATTCCTATGATAAAAATTTTGATTGAGCCAAAAACCGGTTTGGCTCAGTGGATAGTGTCGGCCTGCGGACGAAAAGGTCCCAGGTTCGATTCTGGTCAAGGGCATGTACCTTGGTTGCAGGCACATCCCCAAGAGGGAGTGTGCAAGAGGCAGCTGATCGATGTTTCTCTCTCATGGATGTTTCTAACTTTCTATCTCTCTCTCTCTTCTTCTCTGTAAAAAATCAATAAAATATATTTAAAAAATTTTTTTTGATTGAGCAGCTTTTCAGAAGCAAAGGCACACCCATATATATCACGCCAGTGTGGCTCCCGTAGCACTTGGGACACATTATAGATGAAAAAGACTGACAGGTTACGAGTTTGGATTTGCTCAGGGCATTTTGGATAATCATGGTGTCACTAATTGTTAAATCGGACCCTGTGGCAGAGCTGGCTAGCCCAATAGCCTTATTGAATCAGTCTGCCACAGGTGGGTCTTTCCACGGGACATTCAGGGTGACAAGCTCACCCAGCACCCATTGGTTTTCAGCCAGGGGAGGGGAGGTTCAGAAATACAGACCAGGAACCTCAGTCCTCAACTAGCCCTTAATGCTGCCTCCTTTACTGACACAACACAAATTGTTTCTTACTCCTCCTGCCCTGAGAGTTCTGATTCATTAGACTCTAGCAGAGGAATCTGTCACCGTTTTCTTATTTTGACCCTGCTCACTGATGCCACCAGCTTGAAAGGCACAGCTGAACTAGCATGGGACGATGGACCGTAGGGAATTGCTATTATTTTGCCATTTTGAGCTATAAAATGGCAAGGTCATATGGTTTAATTTAAGATTTTACTTTGGTCAACTTGCAAAGTGTTCCTGATGGTAGAGTCGGTCCTGTTTCCGTCAGTCTGTGCATGGAGACCTGGGGCTCAGGTAGATTCCCCATCATTCTGGGAGAGTTCTGACGAAACCCAACCTGGCCCCTCTGATGCATACCAGGTCCTCTTCCTCACTTCAGGCCACGCCTCCCTTCCCCCTCCCAAAGGGGCTTAAAGAACTTGAACAGCAGGGCAGAGGCGAAACATTTCTTATCCTTCACTGCGGAAAGTACTGAGGCGGTTTTCACTTTGTTTATAGCATGCTATTTCTATATTTTGACTATGATGATATTTCGGTGGAAACTATATATCTCAGTTGCGCAGTGTGTAACAATATTGAGTTCCAATTTATGTTGTTTATTTACACTTACATGCATAAACATGTAATGTATATTCTATAAACATAAACATGCATGTGTAGTCTACAAACCTAATACGTATACACACTCTACATAATATATAACATATATAATGTGCAGGCATCTGTATATATCACTGAGTATCGCTGAAGAAAGAGATGGAGCAAAATTATAATTGGCAGGAAATGATAACTCATAGGAAGGATAGAGCTAGTAATAATTAATCCTTTAGTATTCATAAAACCATTTAAAAACTACATGAGCTACTCTACCAAAAAAAAAAAAATCTAAATGTTAATTGTTGGCTTCAGTCTCAATTTTTTTTGTTATTTTTAAAAACGAAGGTTTCCCCCCCTCCCCCCCCCTTGCAGGGAGTTTTTTTTAATTTATTTTATTATTATGCTCCTTAACAAGCCTTGAATAGAATAAATAAAATGTTCTAGATTAGATTTCATGTCCGCCACCTTCAAATAACCCTGTGCCTTCCTTTTCCTTATATGTTCACAGATATGGTCCGGAAAAAGAACCCCCCTCTGAGAAACTTTGCTAGTGAAGGCGAGGGCCAGAGCCTGGAGCCTATCGGTGCAGAAAGCAAGGTATCGGCGAAGAACAAAGAATTCTCTGCAGATCAGATGTCAGAAAACGCGGAGCAGAGCGACGCTGCAGAGCTAAACAACAAGGAGGAGCAGAGCTTGCACGTCCAAGACCCACCTTCCAGCAGCAAGAAGGACGCAGCAAGCTCGGTCCTGAGTGAGAAGCCTGGCTTCAATTATGAAAGCCCCAGTAAGGGAGGAAACCTTCCCTCCTACCTACATGATGAGGTGACAGATAGAAATATGCTGGCTTTCTCGTCTCCAGCTGCTGGGGGAGTCTGCGAGCCCTTGAAGTCTCCTCAGAGAGCAGAGGCAGATGACCCCCAAGATATGGCCTGCACCCCATCCGGGGACTCGCTGGAGACGAAGGAAGACCATAAGATGTCACCAAAGGCTACCGAAGAAACGGGGCAAGCGCAGGGTGGCCAAGCCAATTGTCAAGGCTCGAGCCCGGTGTCAGTGGCCTCCAAAAACCCACAAGTGCCTTCAGATGGGGGTGTGAGACTGAATAAATCCAAAACGGATTTACTGGTAAATGACAACCCAGACCCGGCACCTCTGTCTCCAGAGCTTCAGGACTTTAAATGCAATATCTGTGGCTACGGTTACTACGGCAACGACCCCACAGATCTGATTAAACACTTCCGAAAGTATCACTTAGGACTGCACAACCGCACCCGGCAGGACGCGGAGCTGGACAGCAAAATCCTAGCCCTCCATAACATGGTGCAGTTCAGCCATTCCAAAGACTTCCAGAAGGTCAACCGTTCCGTGCTTTCTGGCGTGCTGCAGGACATCAATTCTTCGAGGCCCGTTTTACTCAATGGGACCTATGATGTACAGGTTTGTGCTTTGTATTGTGGTCTCTTTGCACACACAAACTTATTACTAATGGGATATGAATGCTTACATGCATGTTCAAGTTGAGCTCCCAATTCCAAAGGGATAGCTTGCTAGTCCAGCAGAAAAGATGGGCATACTTCATTGGCTCTTTCAACCCAATGTGTAGCCAGGGTTATCTTTAGCCTCTCATCATGGAAATGAATCCCAATATTTCGGTGATGTTGGGAAAAGTGTTTTCACGGAATAGCTAGACTTTGGATTTGACCTCCTACATTTATTTTTTTAATATCTGTCATTTTTATCCACTCAATAGCTACAGTGCATTTGATCTAGACCTGTCTATATTTCATGGTAATTTGATTTTTTTTTTTCAGTCTTCTAAAAATGACACTGATTTTTTCGGGTCTGCATGATAGTGACTCATATTTTGTTCAACTTTTAGATTGGTTGGTCTTTTGCTGTAGTCTTTGTATAGTCTTTCCTTCTGTGGGCTTTTTCCTGTGTCTTGGATCAGAATTTGATTTTATACTCAGCCTAACATCAAATTGGACTAAATGTAGGTCATATTGACAGATACAAAAACAAATTACGGAAAAAGCAACATAATTGCAAGTGAAAATTTGGAAATAAAAATTGCATTGATGAAAAAGAAGCCAAGGTGATTGTAAGTACTTAGGGACTCTGGGCCAGTAAAGCATTTCTTTTTGCAGTTAAGGAAAATAATAATTTATTAAAGTATTTACTAGTAATTTAGATATCTACTTTTAGTAAACGTGGCATACCTTTTTGACCTACTCTTCTGTCTTTAGGTTATGGCATATGTAAAATGAAAAAGAAAAAAAAGCTATTTCAAGTAGAATGAACTGCAGAACAGACTCTAAAGAAATATACTTATTTTATTTTATGTTAAACATAATCAAGACTCATGGTCAACTTGAGAAAAATGAATTAGTTGCTATTATAGTGTGTAGGTTTTTATTGTGTTATTATGCCAGATTTCAAAGCATATTAGGCTTAATATTCACCTTCTTTAGGAGTGATTAGAGGAAGTATCAGCGACCTAATGATTTCAGATCACACTTAATTGGCTTCCTAAATTTTTGAAATTATCAAACATTTTTATCAACTCCATCGCTACAGTGCATTTGATCCAGACCTGCCTATTGACCTAGCGTCAATCAAGCAAAGCAGGCAAAGGGATTATCATTAAGAGGTAGTGAACAAATTTGCAGTCCTTAGAAGAAGAATCAGAAGAGAAATTTCCAAGTCCTTTGAAAAGGTCAGAATGGCAATCTTATCATTTTAAGGGAGGCATAAAGAACTCTTAAAAAGCCAATTTCGTCTTATAAGCTCTCTTACAAATTCCATCTTACTTTGCGAATTTCCACAAATAGAATTATTTCCATGGAGCAGCAAATTAAGTCAACATAGCTATTATGCATGAAAGCTACATGCTTTGAACTGCTGTCTCATTAAAGATCATTCCACTGCCTTATGTCAGGTACACTCCGCTGTCAAGCTCCGATTGTAAAATGTGCTTTAGATAAAAGGGTTAGAAGTGAATCATGTCAGTATGTGAAATGGCGTTTTATAATTAGCAAGTAATATGATGTTAATACCTGGATTTCCGGCTGGAGTTTCAGTTTGTTCACTCTGGGGACGACTTCTGAGGGAAGCTGATCTGGGCTGTCAGGAAGGCTCTAAAAGGAAGATTACTAAGGCCCACAGTTTGGAAGAATTCGGATTTTTAAACACACTTCCATTTCCCCCAAACAGTTGTTTGCTAGGTTCCTGGTTATTTATAGTAAAGTTTATGTTTGGGTAGAATGAGCTGGACACTTTTCCTGGGCAGTGATCTTAGAAATAAAACAGATGTGTGAGCTATCTGAGTTTGAACTAATAGAACTAGAAATAAAACAGCTGATCCCCGACCGTGCTTGTCTACTAAATCCTAGCAGAAGCCCAGAGCAAAGAAGACAGAGAGGGGCAGGAAAGAACCTACAGGAAGATAATCTTGTTAAGATCTGTTTTTTTTTTTCTCCTCAAAGAGAAATAGTATGACCAAACATAGAAAAAAATTAAATAAAAACAATCTGTGGGAAAAGTGGGCAGTTATTTCAGAAACACAACTAAAATGTAGAGACAGGTCTAAAGAGAGTTAACTTTCTTCCATTTGGGAAGAGAACATCACATACCCTTGTAGGCCAACTGCTAATCCTGGATGCTTTGCACATATACCAGATGTTGATGCAAAAGCATGACTGAAGATAAGTAACTTATTAATGCTTTTATGCTGAGATAAATATTGAACAGCTTCCCTGGATGCATAAATCGAAGAAAAGCACATCTGAAATCGCCCCTTTTTCCACACGTCTGTGTTGCTGAAATGCTGTTGGAGGGCTTCGCGACGTGTCACTTGAATTGTGTGGAGACTAAAAGCTGTGGGTGACAAATTGCTGACTGTAGAATGTCTTTAATGCATTTTCATCAGAAATTTAGGGTACATTAATAGCATGTGTGTTCTGATAAAAAAAGATGCTGGTAAGTAAGACTATTGCAGACGGTCATCATTCAATTCTAGGAATTACTTAGATCAATCTGTAATTTAAGCTAATTGAAGTAATAGATGAGCAATTCATTAATCTTTTTCAATTAAATTGGCTTTTGTTTTTGTGGTGTGTTTTTTTTTTTAAACACTCAGGACAGTTGGTGGTTAATGATAGATTTATGACATTTTAGGCCAAGAAAAAAAGGAACAGGAGACAGAGTACAGGACTTAAGAACTCTGTGGCTTTGATCTGTATTTTGGTTTGACACGGTTGGTTTTAAATAATTTGATCTGTGTGCAAACATGAGATATATATCCAGTTGGGAAGAAGAAATCATTTAAAAAAATTTTAAGATTTCCAATTCTACGCTCAGATACCTTAACATATATTTGGGGGACTAATTGAAGTTCAGATATATTTGCATTGACAATATCCACTTCTGTGACAATTTTATTAGCAGTTATGAAGTCAAAAAAGAATTACACATTTGTAAAAATAATATCCAATAACAATGCCACTTTGTCCTGCATAGTAGATAGAGCTTCCGCTGGATAAGGGCCATCATAAAACCGGGATGGTCTTTTCTGAGTCTGTGGAAATCAAATGCCCACACCACCTTGAGGCATATGCCCAGCCCTGGCATCAGGAGAGCTGTGGATTCTGTACCAGGAAAAAACTAGAAAAGATACATCAGCGAAAAGATAGAATGCAAATATGTTCACGAGCTCAGAGCTAAGAGACTTGACCTGGATATTAGTTCCTCAAGTTTTAAATGTTTCCTGCCTTTTTTTTTTTTTTTTCTTTAATCAATTACTGTGCTTAAATCTTTAAAAGTCATGCATGTGGCAGGATTGGGAAGCCCTTCATGTAATTTTTACTGCCTTCTAGTCAGCCTTTGAGGCTCACAGAGAGACCAATAATAGGACAAGAGATTGAGTTCTTCAGAACGTAATTACAACTTCTTTCTTTTTAATCTGCTTTATTATGCTTACATTGAAGCCATCTCGGAGCGGAGAGCCGAGCTGTTAAACGCGGACTGTGCCGTTTCATTAAGCTTAATGTGCTGTGCATCAGGACGTGTGTGTCATCTTTATGGGGGACTCTTAGGCCTCAGACCAGGTTATAAAAGTTGGAGTCCTGTCAAGTCGTGCTTCCCACGGGAAAGTGTTTAGTTGTCCTGAGTTTAGAAGTGCTCACGATGTGTAGGTTGCCTTTTCAGATGACTAAGCCTTTTTCTGCGATTCCGCCTTATTCAGGACTCCAAGAAGGTAGCTATCAGATTCCAGCTATTAAATTCATGTTGGCTCTTAATGAAATTCTAAAGTTCACTGAAGAATGACACTGTGAATTTCCCAGTGCCTGTCTTGCATTGGATCTGAGAGCACTACATTTCTGTTCTGTAAATATTTTTATCAGAGTGGCACAATGTGTCATGTTTAGAAGCAGGAAGAACAGATTTTAGAGATAGGAAGTCATCCTTTGTATTCATATTCCCAACATATTTAACTCTGAGCTTTAAAGATCCATAACATATGCCAGTGCATTCATTTGAACAGGGGGTTACAGTTTGGGCTTGGGAAAAGAAAAAAAAAAAAACATCAGAGAACATTAATCTCATTTGGGTCTATTTTGACTTTTCTTGAATTTTACTTCCAAATATTTATTTTTTGCCTTGTCGTTTCCTTTGATCTGGAGTAGGAGGGAAGTTGTAGATCTTAGCAGGTTCTGTTTCTTTGTTTTCCTGAGTTGAGGACAATTGCACTTCAGAAGAACTGGTGAATGAGACTTTAATCACTTCAGACTGTCTATAGAGCTCTGAATGTTTGGCATATAAACCGTCCTTATATTCAGGACTGTGTCCCTTTAACAAGTAATAAAGTGTGCAAAATAAAACATATGCTCACCCTAAGGCCATAAAACAAAGCACAGTTTTGGCATTTACCAGGTTATTTTCATCCTGGAGACGGCCGAGCTGGATAACGCAGCCACCCAGGTGGAGTGGAGTAGCATGCGTGTTCTGATAAAGAGGTAGTGAACAAATTCACTAATCCCTCTTCCTGCTCCATGGTTAAATCTCCATTTGGCTGTGTTACATGAGGGTCAGTAGGATAAATGTCAATTCCTCTTTGATTTTTTTTTTTTTTTTTTTGGTTTATGCACTATTGTTTAAAGAACATGTATCGCTTTCTTGAACGTCAGTATTTCTCTCTGGGCAGAATGTTTAGAAAAAGAAACAGTTATCGGTGCAGCCAATTGGATTTAATGTTACTTAACTCTTAATAAAAATTCTATCCTCTAATGGCTTGCTCTCCTAACCATATCAAGTCAACTGATTATTTAGGGCCTTTTGTTTCTTGGGCCATTGCAGTTCCACTCTACAAGCAGCTGTTGGAAACGGGGAAACTTAAGTAGTGTGCCAACCCCAGGAAAGTTTGGAGAAAGTTTGGAAAA